ATCGATACTAATAAACAAATCAATTATAAGAAGTAGTTGTTTATCTTTTATCTAATGTATTTAACATGCTAAACGAGAATTAATACTAATATCTATGTGATATAATGTAGTTTCGTTCGATCCATCACCATGGACAAATGGTTTGACGATCAAATAAAAAAGATGAAGGTAGAAATTTATATATGTATAGTGAAGTTTTCATATTTATGAAAATAACTATATAAGCATATTCGATCCTCTTAGCTAGGCGGGAACACTGAATGGCGTGAATTCTACGAATCGTCTCCCGAATACTCTCCAAATATGACTCTAAAAGAAAAATACCACAGCAGTTTTGCGACGCAATACCGTGAAAAGGTATCTATCATTCTTCAATTAATACTTTGGTGTCATTAGTGACATAGTGATACATTAATTCTGTGTGTGATTTGACTCGAATATTTCCATATGTAGTAATTAACATGTTAGGTGTTTTTAAAAGTTAACAGCTAAATGTGAGGGAAAAAAGTGGACGCCTTCGTCGAGCTCAAATAGCAATAGATCAGCGACACCCAATCGTCAATCAGAAATTAATAATAGTAACAATAATAATAGCCATATTACTAATAATAATAATACCCAATCTCGACCAAACTCTTCGCGCTCTTCTTCATCACCGTATCAATCCTATCAATCTAATGGTGCGTTCGAAGACGTTAACAGCTTTGGTGGTGGTCTTTCTCCTAGCACCAAACTACGAAATGAAACATATTTCGAGGGTCTAGGAAGAACAAATGACACTCGACCAGATTATTTGCCGCCTAATCAAGGGGGAAAATATACTGGCTTCGGTAATCCCGCATTTGCCAACCAAAATACCACGAGTAGTTCTAGCGCAGTACCCGATCTTGATGAATTAATTAATGATCCGGTAAGTGCGTTCACAAAAGGCCTGAATTTTCTCGGCTATCAGATGGTCGAAGGAGCAAAATTGGCGGCACAAGGAGCAGAAACTTTGGGACAGACTGTTAATGAACGAGTGATTAAGCCGACTGCCGAAAAAGTTAGGGATCCGGAATTCTCGTCACAGGTTGTTGGATATGTTGCGGGAATAGGTAAAACGGTAAGTGATCGAGTATATTAGTAACGGTAATTTATTTTTTCCTATTATTAATGACTTGCATAATAAACAGGTGACAGATACTGCATCACGTGGAATATCAACTCTTGCTGCCGCCTCACAAAGTACCGTCTCTTATGCACGTTCCAACTACGCTACAATCTCTGATAACAACTCGTCGCAACGATTCTATGATAATAATGACAGTGATTTCTTTGCCGATACAATCAATCAATATCAACAAAACAATAATAATTATAGTTATAATGGTGGTGGTGGTAGTGGCCGTAACGAATCCTCTTCACTTCGTAATGATCTACCACGAGCATCGTCCCCGAAAATCACAAGTTCCGGGAGTACGACGCGGAGGAGGGAAGGTAAATCCGAGAACAGAAA